TCCCCCCCGTGTCACTTTCCTTAGCCCCGGCTCTTCTCCCCCTCCCCACCACCTTGGTGGCTTTCCTTAGCCCTGGCTCCACAGTCCATCACGGCCCTGCCATTGCCCAGCCCATCAACATCGACAGCAGCCAGCACTCCAAGAGCTTCGTCAGCGACTATCTGTGGAGCCTGGTGGACACGACCTGGTGACCTGGCCCAGCCGCCTGCGGGATGAGACGCCGGTGGCCTGGCTGGGCCAGCAGGCGAGGGAGCAGGGCTCACCAGGCCAAGGCAGGACAGCCCCCGCTGCTAATCACAAAGGCATTTTTTATTCCTGTAACAATCAGCGTTTGAAATAATTAAAACCGATCCCAGCTTGGGCTGTAGCGGAAGGGGTCAGAGGAGACACCAGGTGTGGTCCTGTCTAGTCTGTAAAGGCAGCTCCTGCCAGCCCTCCAGCCTGTAGCCCTTCCAGGCCTGCTGGCGCTGTCCTCTGGTTTCCTCCAGCCATGGGCTGGCAGCCCGAGAGCCCAGGCAAGCTCCTTCCCCTGCTCCACCAGGGAGATGTTTCTCTCAGGACCCAGAAATCATCCAAGGCTGTTCTGCTGCTGTGGCCGCAGGCGCTGAGTGGTCGAGCCGCCCAGCATGGCAGGGAAGAGACGCACCATAAGGGCAGCTCCTGCTCTGTGCCCACCCCGCCCAGAGGAGGGAGAGGGAGGCGAGAGGCAGCGTGAAGACCCCACTTTGGGAGCCAGCCTTGCTGTGCTGCACAGGTGGGGGGCAGGAACCCCCTTGGCACGACGCTGCCCCTCCGCTGGGCAGAATGTGAGCAGCGGCGGGTCACCGCTCCGGCGCTGCCGGGGGTGGGGGAGCCGTCCCAGCCCCCGTGTCAGGACAGCGCTAGCAGCAGTCCAGCTGGCCCACCTGCTTACGGCACGGCTCCATGGTGATGGCCACGCCTACCCCGCTGCGCCCGGACGTCATGCGCGTCACCTCGGTCCAGCTGTCGGTGGCGGGGTCGTAGCACTCCACGCTGTCCAGGAAGGTGTGCCCGTCATAGCCGCCTGCCGAGGCGAGAGCAGCAAGGGCTGTCACGCAGCAGCA